CATCTACCCTTCTTATTATAGATACTTACTAGAATGACCAATCGTATGTCATATTGAATGGTATAAGAAAGATTGAACAACTAATACCATCCTCCTTGCATTTGTGAATTGTTTTTTTGATTTTCAAGTTCAGAGATTACTTCGGTTATTTAAATCTAATAGAAACGTAGAAACAGGGAAAGTTATATAAATTCAATGTTATCATACATTTCTATACATTCCGACATTCTAACAGCATAACGCTTTCCTTCTACTTCGTCTGTAGGCTGATGCTTTGTACTAAAGCCTGTTCAACATTACAGAAATCACGCCTATTATTGAGAAACAAAGGTATATAAGGTAATCTTGATCGTTGAATCTTAAGAACGCTGTTCAACTAACCTGTCGACTATCTCGGCGAAATGGGTCAACTTTGAATAAAGTTTTGCACCACGAATTGTCTGATGCCAGTAACACGTACTCCTTCAAACTCCTTACGTTCCAAGACGAAATCAATCTCGACTGCGAAGTTTACGTGCAGTTTTACATAGCCTGGAAGCGGAGGTGGAGTTGCCTTTGAGGATGGAACATCGATCTTTGAAGATGTTCTTGAATGTGATGCTGTTACGAGAGGCGCAAGAAGAATCTTTGATAGAGGTGAGGTTGATATGTTCGAGGATGCAGATGTGGGAGTTGGTCACGTGGTGGTTGGTGAGAGTGGAAGTGGTGGATGAGCGGAACGGAAAGATGACGAGACTGACGAACTCTGGTTAAAACGTCATTGGCTTTGCCGTCAGTTCATTTAGAGACGTAGAGCGACTATGCGAATTTGGATCGTAATGATGAAAAACTAGGACTTAGACCTCGCGAACCTGCAGGCGTGGATGATGTGAAGAGTTTGCTGCAGCAGGAATTAGCGCTGACTTGCGTTGATGGAGCGGGCCCTAGTCTACATTTGTGAAGGTGTACAAAATTTAAGGTTTATTCATTCCGTGTGGTTGTTCTTTGTTTGTGTGACCCCGAAGTTACACTTGTATAGCTTTATAGTAAGGCTGTAAACCGAATTTAGTTTATCTGTATTTTTTTTTTTTGCTTTATTTTAATAACGATTTAATAAATTGTTGACTTGGCAAACTACTATTTATCTGTAATAGTTG